ATCAGTTCATTGACGGTGGGCTTCAGTCTTTCACACAATACGCTCGAGCGTTGAAAGAAGTAATCAAAGTTATATTGTAGTGTAGGCATTTATATCGCTAGCTTAGAATGAAAAGTTGCTAAGTCCATTTGTAGAAAATTTACAGTGGGGGAAAAGAACTTTTCAAAATATTTCCTCCAAGAATTTTTGCAGAAGGTTCCGTTGCAAACTAAAATTTTTTGTGAGCTTATGGATTTTGCTGTGCCTCTTTTGGACTTAGTAAATTTGCCTTTAATTGAATATAAACGGGAAGAAATAAAACAAGCACGTTAGTGAATCCTTTTAGAGACGTTGCGTTTTTAATTTAACTTGCTTCCTATAAGCAAATATGAGTTTTCACAGAAAGTGGACTTAGCAACTTTTCACTTTAAGCTAGCAATATGTTAATGACATGATAATTGGTCTTTCTTTCTAGGACTCTATTTTCATTGGCAGCTCAACTGCCACAAATTTAGATTAAAAAATAATAGTCCACTAATAATATTCTCACTGAATCGGGTTTCGATACAAGTACTTTCTTCCGATACCTACTCAGTACTCGGTTCGTATCGGGTCTGTACTTGTATTTCCTAGTATCGTTTTGTCCCTAGTATGCGATAACATGCCGTTTGTTTAAGTGAAATTAAATTTTGTCGCATCGTGGTTATCTCAGTATAAGTTCTGAACCAAAACTTCAACTTCAAATCGGTACGGTATTTAGGTCAAAAGGAATAGATTTAATGGGTATGCGTATCGAATTTCGCTAAAGAAAATAATCTCTCATACCCTAATGTGCACACATACGGACATATACATATTACATATGTACATATCATTGAAAAATTCATTTTCATATCAAATTTTAGAACTGTATTTAAACCCCGAATACTGATAGATATTTAAAGAGGGAAAATTTAACCTTTCATTTTTATAAATAACTTAAAATTACATAACTCAAACGCCAAATATTTTTTATGATAAGTTAGCCTTAAGTATTTACTTTGTACAGCAGCCATCGGCTTTGCCTTAATATCACTGCTAAGTTGATTTTTACTTCAGCGAGTATTTTTTTGTGGACTAACAATTTTATTCGTATTTACCACTTTTCTTGTTTAGACTATGGTTGTTTATACTCTCTCTGTTGTCGCTCTCTACATAGTAGATTCCACATCGCTGGTTGAGTGTGGCGAGGTCAGGCCATGTGGTGAACATCGGCTCAATGCGACAATTCAGTTGCAAATTTAGCGCTGAACTAAAAGGGTCT